TTTTAGGAAAGTTGGCAGCCATGGGGTCTCGCATTCGTGAGTACTCACATACATGGGCCCGTAGTCATAGTCAAAATAAAGTCGACTTTAAAGTTAGTTGCAGCTTTTTTGACAGATATCCCATTGAAAATTATGTCAAAAAGCTGCAACTAACTTTAAAGTCGACTTTATTTTGACTATGAATACGGGCCATGGTTGCTACAATTGGTAACCTTCTACCAAAAGTGGTAACTTTTAAACGGTTTGGTAACTTGGTAACTTTTATTTCATTTTGGTAACTTTTGCAACTAAATATCTATTTGCATTACTAGAAAGAAATGAATTATGTTTTGCATGTGCATATTTATAAAAGCCGTTCTAGTTTCAGTGGCAGCACTACTGACACTTCTACAAAATTACTTCGATAAAATTAGAGTCATCTCATATTCGAATACTTGAAATATTTCAATTACAGTGGCAGCACCAAGGGCTGCATTTCTAAAACAACTTTCGAATTTTTGCGATAAATTTTGAATTCTACCATCTCACATTTTAAGGCTATCTGCACACTTGTCGTTATCGGCTAGTTATCGGCAAATCGTAGAAGATGCAGAAACGGATAAGTACGGCACTGTCGTTTGGTAATCATTGTGCACGCATTGTTTGTTTACATTTTATGGGGAAAAATTTGTGAAAAAGTTAATATTTGCATTAAAATTGCATAAAAATTAGTGTCTTTGGCATAAAATCTGTCGACATAATTAAAAAGTGGATAATTGCAATAAAATTCAACAAATGTGAGTGTTTTAACTATAAAACATGTCGAAATTGTAAAAAGTCTCTGTGTGCATGCACAAAATACATTTCAGGAAAAGAAAATAAGAGATATTACTGAAAAATTATGTCTAGAATTGTTACAGCACAGTCCATATTTTAAAAATTGCAGGTTTTTGTAAATATTTCGCGAAAATATCAACCAGAAAAACTGAAAATACCTGCTCCTAGTAAATTTTTAGGCGCCAAATGAATTGAAATATCACGACCGAGTGTGCGAAAATGTAGTCGCCATGTAATCGTTGCATCATGTTTGTGACGATGACCTAACTATGATTGGACGACCAATGTGCAGAAAGCCTTAAAGTGGCAATCTGGCAATTTTTGGTAAGGTCCATAAATCGTTTTGATTACTCTGGCACAAAAAAAAAATGTCGCGTGCTTTTTACTAGACGCACCTACCGACATGTATTTCGACCCACAGAATTCAAATCTGAGGTCTGTTTGACACGTACACTAAATTATGAAAAAGCGAAATTACTCGAAATTTTGTACGAGTCAAATGGACGGTTAAAAGCACCCGCAACTTTTTTTGTGTGCCGGTGCCATTATTCCGTGAGTCGAAAATATCGGCACATTCCGAACGAAAAATGACACTGAAACTGGCAAAACGTCGAAACCAAATTTGACAAGGGATGATGGAAAATCGCTCCACATTACATCATACTCATAATCAAAAATTTACAAATTATAAAACTATTAAATTCATTAAGTCACAGAAACGGGCTGTAAGTATATACACATTTGTTGTGAAATATAGCAGTTTTATTCAGTATATTTTTTTCTCAGTGAAGAAGTGAAGATTTTGGTAGTGAGATTTGGTAACTTTTGGTAACTTTTCTTAAGAGATTTTGGTAGAAAAAAATGTTGGTGAGTGGCAACCATGCTCACATATACTTGTACTCTCATTCCGATCACACATACAGATGCAATTCGCACAAAATTTTCTGTTTCCCCCCGGGCATAATTACCTCACCTCATCTACCCAATGTTTTGCACATTTGCCCACGGTTTGCACGTTTGGACATTTTGCCCGTATGTGCAGATTATGCCCATCGCTAACTTAGAGGATACGTGGATATGAATATCCGGAATATTTTGGCCTAGTTAAGAAAAAAAATACAAAACATTTTGGAAATAGGCGCACTGCCACGTCCACGTCGCATATAACTTAAATCATTATTTAGCTGTAAATCGCTCAATATTAATGCCTAAAGATTTAATATACATGATCTGTAAGTACAGTTCATGTTAAATTAATGAAATAGGCTTGTTACCACGCCCGTTTTAAAAGATTTTAATAGCTTATAAAACAATGATAGGAGAAACATGAAACTCGGTAAAACTAAATATTTTGTAGCATATATATACACGATCCAGAAAATAAAGGTCGCGCCATTCGTGTAAAACACTTCACCACTGATGACTTCGAGAACGAGCTTCAATATAAAATCGGTAAGTTATACTATTTAATTCGCCAATAAACGCTTATTGGATTTCGTGAGGATGGTGTGACTCATGAGACACATTTTAGACAAATGACTGGTTTGATGTGCTCAACGTGAGGGTGCCTCACGCTGACTCAAGGAAACGGTGTCACGCTTATGGCTTAGCGAAGGAAGAGCAGGACAACATTTTGGATCAAATGACTGCTTTGGTTAAAACTATTAGGGTAATTGGAAGGCAGTCCCTTCTTCCATTTCAGAAAGGTAAACTTAGAAACTTATATGAAAACTATTAAAAATATTCAATTCTATTTTGTTTCAAACCCCTTAAATATATATGTATGTATATATACATAAGTACTTGTTTTTTACCTTTCAGGAATCATACAAAGCAATAATGCATTGAAGATGATGTGTGATGAGATCAAATCTCGCCTCGATGTTAAGTATGTACTAACATATCGCCTCAACCAAGATGTCTTGGAAAACTTCTTTGGTGTGATTCGTTAAAAAGGTGGGTTGCATGATCACCCGGACCAGCAGGAGTTTAAGTACCGCCTCAGACTTTATCTGCTTGGCCACAACAAAGGCGTTTTGTCAGACTCTGCGAATGTAGAGGAGGATGATACGCCGGACTTGGAAATGACGCAACCCCCACTCACAGGTTCTTCAAAAATTGTATTCTCCAATTAAAATATATTATATGACATATTATATTATTATATTATATTATATTATCATATTATATTATACGACATATTATATTATCAGGTATATTCCTGCAAAATTTGCAAGAAGGCCCGGAACTATGGCCGGTTGAGAAGCTGAGTTCAGCGACTTGGAGCATGATGGCCTCGAGCATTTAGCCGGGTATATTTGTCACAGACTCCAGGATGACATCCCCAGCACATCGCTCAGGAGCAATGACGACCCGTCGTTTTCATGGGCAAGTCACTTGAGCGAGGGTGGCTTGAAAGTACCCAGCTCTGCAATGATGGACCAAATGCGTCACTTAGAGTCAGTGTTTCAACCAATGAATGAAGATGGCTTGCTTATTACAAACGACTTTGTAAAAAAACACATTGAGCAAGCCTCGGATATCCATTGCGATATTAAAGTAAAAAAATTATTTTTCAGGGCAAGAATGTTCTTTAAAATAAGAAAACTAAACAAAGAACTCATAGAAAATGCCCACAGTAAAAAAAAGAAAATATAAAAAAATATTGACTTAAGTGCATTTGGTACCATCAACAAATAAGCAAGGTATGCAGCAGGCCTGGTAAGTGAATAAATTTTATATTTTTATATAAATAAAATGACATAGTGAGCTATAAATTTACATATTGCAAAAACATTACCAAAATTCTTTTCTTGCTAGCTTAGGGTCAACATCAACATCTGGAGTACGTGCACTCATGTGATCAGAAGTGAAATATACCTAAGATGAATGCGTAGAATGCCTCCCGTAAGGAAATGGTTCATTAATTGCATAGCAATATAAATTCATTTAATTACAGGTAAATGCTCTTGATACACCAAAAGGCCCTTTTCAGGGCCGCCACGAATTGCTAAAGTGATCAAATTTTTTGCAAACATTAGCTTCCCTGTGTTTGTATACATAAAGGGCCCTTTTCAGGGCCGCAAATAATTTACAAAGGGATCAAATGCTTTATATAAGCTTATACCATATATACACACGAATTGCTAAAGTGATCAAATTTTTTGCAAACATTAGCTTCCCTGTGTTTGTATACATAAAGGGCCCTTTTCAGGGCCGCAAAGAATTTACAAAGGGATCAAATGCTTTATATAAGCTTATACCATATATACACAAAAGGCCCTTTTCAGGGCCGCAAAAAAATTAACAAAGAGATCAATTTTTGACTGTCGTAATAACGAATAAGAAATGTACATATGAGTAGTCCACTTGCAAACAGCGTTATGTGATGTTATAATAGAAAGCCATAAATTTGAAAAAACGACTACGACAACAAGTAACATTTAAATTTAATCTTTTTTATTACCTAAAAATTTGGATAAAAAAGAGCCTTATAAAATTGTAACGTAACATAACCTGTCATAAGATAACATTAACAGTCTATACGACCTAAAGCAGTTCTCTAAGTTCATCAGAAGATAGATACTTTTTAAAGTTTATAAATAAGTATGATAGCGACTTTTGGAAGAAGACTTAACATTTGATGCTATTTTTTCAGAATATAAAAAGATTTTGCACTCTGTTGTTACTGGACATGAAACTACTTTAAATACTGGTACGTAATCCATCAAAAACTAAAAATCGAACAAATTTTACATAGCGCCCTTTGCAAGTCGTCGTTTAAAGTACAAAACCGCGTATCAACAAAATGCAAAACCGCGTATCATGATAATGCAAAACCGCGTTTGTGAGGTTGCATAAATCACCACCAACAATTTTTTAATTGTGTGAAATTTCATAATAAAACTTTTATGTCAGCTTGCGAATTCCTTATATATAGCTTTAGCCGTTTAAAGTTTCTGAAATACAACAGTACGACAGTATACAACTGTTTGAAGTCGGTGCCCATGCTGGCTAATTTAGATAGTAACGCATACACCATGATGTAAGTAAATTCTTGAATCTCTTGCGGTCGATCATTAAAAAGACTCTTCTTTTTGGCCACTGCAAAAGAAAAGGTAAAGTAATATTTATAATTAAGAACACCTTTTCATTTTATACTCACGCATTGTGAATTTTTTCAACTTGGCATATGCACTTGCTATGTTTTTGCCAATATATTTTGTGACCATCATAAATTCCTGCACCATAGACTGTAAGAAATGGGTAAACATAATAATGTAAACATCTTCAAATGCACTTCTACTTCTAACTTACTTGTAAGTCTCTAATCTGTTCCTCGTACATAAATTGCGTCTACATCAAGGTCTCTATACGATTGCCGCCTTGGTTTACATTGGCCTTATCCGACAACTGGCGTATGATAAGCTGCGCCATTTCCAACTCATTTGACTTTTCTTTGAACTGATGTTCAACATCGGGAGCACGTTCCTGCATTACATCTAACAGCCTTTTCATTTCATCCAGATGAGCCGCTTGATGTGTGTGAAGGTTTGTTTACAAAGTGAATTTTTAAGTAGTTGCTGGCAATAATTTGCAGGCTTGGGCCAGCGTTTGTTGCGGCTGCCGGAAAAGTAGCTAAATAATGAAAGTAATTGTATGTATAGCGGAGTAGGAGGTTTTCCTTTATTTTAAAAGCTTGGTTACTGATTTCACTAATTGACGACGATGCAACGATCACCGTGGAATCGTTCTGCAAATTGTTACCAGCAACTGACCCGCTGGCTGCCCGCTGGTATTTGTTCAATTACTGAAAAAATGCAAATCATTATAATGATTGCAGTGATTTAACACTTTCAGCGATTTGCATTGCATTTAATAAGTACACATTCTTTACTTTTAAACAACCAATTTACCATTTAAAACTAAATAATTCCGTAAATCCGCGATTTATTATGCACTTTGTAAACAAACCTTTCAATTTTGCCCCAGCTGTTCGATTCTTCTTCTTTTTCTTATTGAATTCGTCTTTGCTCTCTCATTCTGGTATTTATTGACGTCACGGCCAGTTGCTCTCAGCTCGATTGGCGCAATCTTGTATTCTATCATTCTTGATATACATACACATAAATTTTGTACGGATGTATTGGTATATGTATAATAGGGAGCTTTTTTCAAGACTATTTTTTCGATATTTCTTGAGAAATTGGGGTTTGAAGTTGAGGTAGTATGGAATTCTCGCTCATTTTTATTTTATTTATTTTCTTCTTTTTAGTCTTGTCCAGCGGCGGATCCAGAATTTTCTGATGGGGGAGGGGGTTTTGCGGGACATTTTGCCCCTTATTCTAATTACCTTAAACGAGAAATTTTTGTGTATATGTATATGTGTCCATAAGTTTCTCGGCAACGGCTCTAACGTAGCAAAATGAAAAATCGTTTAAAAAAGACTTTCGAAGTTGTATTTCTTCCAATTGTCAAAAACTTTTTATTTGTCACGGGGAATTATCAGGGTTTGAAAAACTGTTAGCACAGCGACAACAGCCAAGCATTTCCTTTTTTATAAAATGTTGTTGCTTTGCTAGCCGGCAATTACAAGTACCTGATGCAGATCTTGCAGAAGCAATGAGCTTAGCCGACGACGATTTAAAGGCATTTGAAGAAATGCGACAAGATGCCGAAAAAACTTTCATTTGCTTTTCGAACTCGTAGAAGAAGTATGCACCAACCTAGGTATAGAAATCAAAGTACCGCGATACAGCAGTCGCCGAAAGAATCGCTTTAATGTGAAAACCGGAGACGCTGAGACATACTGTCGCATTGCTTTTTACATTCCCTTCCTTGACACATACATATGTATATTGCTCATTTGAAAAGCCGGTTCCTAAACCATAAATCAGTTTTAAATAATTTTAGTGTTTTGTTTCCAAACAAAACTTTCTTCTGGAGGCAAAAATGTGGAAAAACGAACGCAAAAGCCGCCAGAGAAAAGTTATTAAAAATTTTAGCGATTTTTAGCCGCTTAAAACTAGCACCTGTTTTATTAGAATAACATACCCAGATCTTTTTTAAATATTCAGACTAAAAAGTTCTAAATTTAGATGAAAATTTGTTGAAGTTCTGGTTACGGAATGAACCATATTTTTATAAAAAAAATAACAAATAAAATTTAAATTAAAAAACGACAAATATTGACCAAACTCAGCATGCGCTCAAGTTTGTATGTATGTATGTATGTAGATATACAAACTTCCTTCAAGGGTGACAGGTAATAAGATCAACGGAAATAAGGTCAATTGACTTTATTTCCCACCCTGGTGCGAAATAAAGTCAATTGACATTATTACCTTTTTAAAAACGAAATAAAATCAATTGACATTATTTCTCTTTCAAACATTAAATTTGCTTAGCTTCGCGGCGGCCCGCGTCAGCGCGCCACAACGCGCGCGTCGCGCTCGCGCCCCGCGTACCCCGCGCCACCGGCGCGCACACCACGTCACGCTACGCCGCGGCCCCCCCGGCCCCTCTTCCCCGTCTCCCGACGTACTGTAACGCAGGTAGATTTATTTTTTGTATACGTTGAAATAAAATTTTTATATATTTTAAACATCGAGGGCTTATATTCAATAATACCCCCTATCTGCACACTTTTCACAAAGATGAGATTCTGATATAAAAATCCACCTAAGCTTTAACTGTCATCAGTGATATTAATGCTACCTTATATAACGACAGGTAATAAGTCCCAGATGGTTTCTAAAATCACAAATTAGTTTTTGTGCAAATTGCAGATAGAGGGTAATAATGAATTCAAGCCCTCGATATTTCACATTTTTATATTTGTAAGTTATTGGAAGCAGGGATGCCAACTTGGCTCAAACCGTGCCATTTGTTCCTATTTTACTTCAAATGGCACTTAATTTTTCAATTTGGCACAAAATGCCAAAATGGCGCTTTTGTAAAAAATAACATTTTAATACATTTTTGTTAAATCCTTTGCGTGCACTTCTTTTTCTCAACTAAAATTTTCTAATTTATAAAGGCTATTCAACTGGTTTATCTTATTTTATCATTGCACTTTTGTTTTGAAAATGTGGCTTTATTTTATTGCTAAATGTGAATGATTAAAAGGAATTACACCTTTTTTGGCACTTTTATTTTTCTATTTGGCACATTTTGGCACTTTTTTATCCTCAATATGGTACCTCATAACTAAGGAGAGTTGGCAGCCCTGATTGGAAGATTTCTGCTGTGTTTTGGGGCAACAACTTGTCTGCAGTAAAAAAGCATATAATTTGTGTTTCAAAGGTGTGTGAAAACCAATCAATTAACTTATATGATCTCGGTTCCGATATTAAATAATCAATAATTGTTTATACACGCATTTTGGCACATTGGCTCGTTGAATGTGCCATCTAATAAATAGTGTCGTCGTTCTCCTTAGCTGCTTTTAAATGACTGCTGGCGGAGACATAAATACAGTGTAAGAAAATTCTTTTTCTATAACTGTTTCCTTATAGAAAGGTTGGGTTCTTTTCCACCTTAGCCATTCCGAATTCGTTCAAAATATGCTAATTTAAAACACAGAATTCTTTGAGTGCTCCTCCGGGGTTTTTGGACATGTACTGTGTCTTCAATTTAATAGTGTTCGCTTTATTTTTGTAGAAACGAAAAATGTTTTGCAAGTTATGGATCATTTCTCCACTCTTTCTTGAAATATTTCTCGTATTCCAGCTGTGCGCAGGCGTTTAGTTCTTCGCATCGCCTTTTTACATATTCGTAATTTAAATTAGTTTTTAATAGAATAAATTGGTGATAGTTCATGATTGTGTGTGGATTAATATCACAACACTGAGGATTTGGCAAAAGCCTTCTTCATCTATTAAAAAACAACACTTACGGGGCAATGTTTATTGTAAGAACAACATTTTTTTCTATGAATCGACATACTTTAAGCATTGTTGACGCTATTTCCATTTGAATGAGGAAATAGCGTCAATGACTTTATTTCCAAATTTTTGTTGACTTTATTTCGCTTTTGAAAAGGTAATAATGTCAATTGACTTTATTTCGCACCAGGGTGGGAAATAAAGTCAATTGACCTTATTTCCATTGACCTTATTACCTGTCACCCCTTCAAGCAGCATATTTCAATACAGTATGTTGCTATAATTATGATGTATCTTAACCCTTAGGAGGGCGCGCCGCGGCAAATTAGCCGCAAAAATTTTAATTTGTGGTTTTCGAATACTAATTGTAGTAGCCGGCCACTGCCACTTAGTGACTGTAAGTTTTTAGATGCAGCATGGTTCACAGTTATCTGTTACTTGCTGCGTTGTATCGTTCAGTTGATATTTGTATTTGAAATTTGGTGAGCCGCGTCGCGCCCTCGCAAAATTTTTATAAGATAGTTGGAAAAGTGAGTCTAAATTTAAATTTTTCTTTTCTAAGTAATTTGGCATGTGTAATTGAAAAATTATACTTTGCGTATACTTTGCTTACACATTGTAACTATTATGATATTAATTTTCTTAGGTTTTAGAAAAAAAGGATGTTTTTAAATCGTGTATTTTAGAACGAATTTCCGTCATCCCTTGTCAAATTTGGTTTAGAGACAAACCGATTTCGGCGTTGCGCCATCTTCAGTGTCATTTTTGTTCTCTCGGGAACAACAATAACGAAAAAGGAGATGTTTTTAAACTTATATAGAAGCGAACCAGCTACGAAACAGAAATTGAAACAAGGAATATGTACCGGGAATAATAAAACAAAAATTTGTTGATGATGACGCATACAAATTTAAAAACTGAATGCTTATAATATGTTTCAGTATAAACACAAATTATTCAAATATTTTATTTGAATGATTTTTCGACATAAAAAAAAAATGCAGTCAACCTTTGAGATACACCTTGCGGCTAAATTGCCGCGACGCGCTCTCCGAAGGGTTAAGTATGTGAATCTTATTTATTTAAATACTAGCCGGCCTTGTTTGTGCGAGGCTTTGCCGCGGACGCCAAGTCCTTTCATTTAACAACTCACGTTTTAGTCCAACGAACAGCTCACATCTTATAATGACAGGTGGCAACCCTCTTCGAAGAAATAAAACCTTATTGCACATCTGAAGGCCAAGCCCTTTCATTTGACTCCTCATTTCATATAATTGCGTGTGTTTACATACATACTGTAGTAGATTCCAAAGATTTCTTTTTAATATTTTAATTAAAAGTTAACAAAACTTAATTTATTTTTATATTATTAGCAATTCGAGAAAAGTTTGGATAATAAAAATTTTCTATTTGATTCACGAACTACAAAAATCACATAAATCTAAAATTTCCAAAATTACAAAGTTGAAATGAACACAGTACAATAAAAGGTAATAACACAAATACAAACCCTACAATACTCTCCCTTCTAGAGAATTAATGTTATATAAATTAAAAGTAACTCGTTTCTTATTTGATGTTGTGTTATTCATTGTATTAGTGTTTGTTTCTGGTATTAGTTCTGTTTCAATGATTGCTGGTTTTAGTCTGTCTATCGGAATTGTTTTAACCTCATTATCTACTTCAAGTTTGAAATATTTTTTGTTTTTTTCAACAACCTTATAAGGTCCTTCGTATGGTTGTTGCAATGATCTTTTATTAATAACACGCATAAAAACAAATTTACAAGTCTCCAAATCCTTTGGTATATATACACCAGTATCAGAATTTTGATTATGCCTTAAATTTGATTTAACATTTTTTAAATGTTCCCGTAAATTACCTAAAACTTCAATTGGCGAAAATTTTTCTTCAGATGGAACAACAAGTTCACCGGGTAGGCGTAAATTTTGCCCAAAAACCATCTCAGATGATGTGGCTGAAATACTTTCTTTAT